TCAGTTGAATAATATTACAGTTATATAATATTCTAATACCAAAAAAAGTACTTACGTAGCGTGAAAATATCTTTTGTGATATAACTTTTTCAAAAGTACATAAAATGGTTGCCAGCAGGGGAGTACATGTATAGATTTATTAAATACACCTTGTGCGCCACCTAGGAACCAAACCCCACTCTCCCCTATCGAATTTTTAAAGACGAAATATAAAATTTGAGCAAAACCGGTTGTGAAATTCAATTTCTCTATTCTACCAATTTCTTCCAAAAGTCGTGTTTTGTTATTTCAAATAACACAGTTAAAAAGGATGTAAAAATTTGTACACCTTACAATTCCAATCTTTTTTCTTTTTCATTCTGATTTTAAAAAAAATAAGAAAAAATTATTGGAAGTTGTTTTTTTTTGCGTTTAATTTTCTTTTTAAGTAAGCCAAATTTATAATTATTAACAAAAACGTTCCGATTCCTTTTAAAAGTCCTTTAGATATGGAAACACGTAAAACGTTAAATTTACATTAAAGAACCCAAACTTTTGTACGCTGTGTTAAATTATTACTTACGTAAAGTGCATTACTGTCTTATATGATTACTTATTATGTAAATTTTTTTCTTCATAGAAACAAATTGAAAGACTACCCTTTCCTTACAATACAAATTGCACTGATTACTTGAAACTATGGGAGCAAAACAATGGAACAGGCCCTTTGAATCAAGATGTAAGTTTTTTACTGCAATATGAATTTGGTATCAATTTCTTTTTTAAAAAAAATAAGTGCTGCAATTGTACTGGATTCTGGATTCGAACTCGCGATCTCACGAACACTAGTCCAACGTCCTACTAACCAGGCAAAGTCGGAATAGCCTGATTTTGGTAGTCAAGCCGAGGCAGCCTGATTGGTTGAACTTTGGGCTCGTGTTTGTAAGATCACGAGTTCAAATCCCACGTGCCAAAGAATTCTCGTGTGGTGACTGTTGCAAGTTAAATCTATCGTTGTCACAAAGTCCTCTAAGTTCCCATAACAAATCAATTCCTTTGAGGTTAATGAATAGGAGATATATCGTTCTATAGTTCAGGTCAAAATAAAGATTTGTGAATGAATATATGGAGTATCATTATTTTGAAACGGGTTGTGACGTGTGTGAGGCTGAAATCCTACTCTTGACCATAAATCGAGCTACTGAAAAAAAAAACAAGAAACGCACCCTCTGCCTTAAAATTTGCTTGGTTTCCCATAAGCAGGCTTGCTGATAATCACAAGTGACATAAATAACAACAAGTATAGAATTTTCGAAAGCTCTTGGACGAGTATTTCTAAGAAAATTAAACTTTTAAATAACTCCTCTCATTAGGCTCATTCAGACATTTCAGAAGAAAGAATTAAAAAAATAAAGTAAGCTCAACGCTCCATTAGAATGCGTAATCTTCTACACAATAAAAAAATTCCTGATCAAATTACAGTAAAAAATATCGGCACCCAAGTTGATGTTTATTTTTTTATTTTTTTTTTTATTTTTTTTAACCGTAAAATCCATTTTTACCGGAACATGCAACGGAATAAAAAAATCTGCTACACTGTAATTTTCACAGTAATAATTAACGTAAAATTACTAAATCACTCTAATTAAATAAATATTACTGTAAAAATTACGGTGTAATATTTTGATGTTAAAATGAATTTTTAAGTAAACCTTTTTTTTGCGAATGTTGCACACAAAGTGAGTTTAAAATGGAATTGTTTGCAATATGCAGATAACATACATATGCATAACATACAGATAACATACATATGAAATTAAGGTAATTTGCACAGTTGGTTGATTATTTTTTGAACTACAGGACCGATTTTAATGGAATTTGATGTGTTCATTGATAAAATACGAAACAAATAATCATTCTACAATTGTAATACACACGCATGACAGTGCATAAAGTTTACGGAAAAGAAAAATTTTTTCCTTTATGGTATTATAACCATTTACAAAAATATCGTTATAAAACCAAAAATGCAAAACTATACGGTTTTATAACCATTTACAACTAGCATTTTTTAAAAACGTAATTAACTAGACGTAGAAACTCGGCTTTTCGTAAGTTAATGGTCATTGGAGAGTGCCGGACACTTACTATTCTTCACGTGTTGAACGGAATGGAGAAAATATTGTAGTGTCAACACTAGGACTCGAACTCCAGTTCTGATGGTCATGAGACTGACAGATGAGCCCGCTCGGCTATCATATGTACGCAGTAGCGAAGAACTAAGTAGCTTCATTAGGTGGTTCTAGTTGGTGCGATAAAATTCTGGTTGTTTAACCGTATTAGGTGAAAGCAGTTAATAAACATTTTTTTTTAAACTTAACAGTTTGATTACCATTTCATTTATGGTTATTTGAATGTGTTGATTAAATATGGTAAAATAGCCACGCAATCAATTATTATTTAACCATTTCTTCCGAGAAATTTCTAACAGTGCAGGAATATAACATTATTTCTTACGATGATTGTTATGACATAATCTAGAATGAGCTAAATATTAAATAAATGATTTTTGATTTTTCTGATGATGTAATTTTTAATAGCCAGAAATGAAAACGCACTTATTTCAGCAAAATTGAAATGCATAATAGATTTGAAACTGCAACATTAGAGATTATGAATCTGCTGTGTTATAAAATAAAATTCGATGTTTTCACCTAATTTATCATATTAGTTCTGAAAATTGACATTCTTTTATTAGATGTTACTATGATATACCCTCAGAACTGAAGAGAATAGTAAATCAGAAATAATTAGAGTCTTTTGATCGGTGTTATATCGCTAACGTGAAAAAGACACAATTAGCATTCCTTAAACATCAAGCAATGTTAAAAAGTCTTGATTGAAAATGCTAGATTGATGAAAGAATTGAATGCTTGATTGAATGCTAGTTTGACCCCCCCAGTGGCTGAGCGGTAGCGCTTCGCGCTGTCGTGCCACAGGTCCCTGGTTCGATCCTCGGGCCGGGCAAGGTTAACTCAGCCTTTCATCCCTTCAGTGGGTCGATAAATGAGTACCAAGCATGCTTGGGAACTAAGCACTGGTGGTTCCGCATTCGGCTGACCACCTGACCGGACCACGTCGTTGAGTTTAGTTTAGAGTTTTAATTTTTAGATTGTTGAAACTTACTGTACTATAAACAAATGACCAAAATATATATAAATTATTATGTTATTCGCATTTAGAATTGTTTTTTTAAAACCTTTTAATTATAATTATTAAGATTTAAGATTTTTATTTAAAAATTATCCAATTGTTAATATTTGAATTTTTATTTAAGAAATATTTAAGAATTAATAACTTAAGCTCTTTTCGACTCATTTTTATTAAACATTTATAAAATATTATGAATTCTTATTTTTTTGAAAAGAAATTTGCCAGGTGGGCAACATTTTCTTATTAAAAAAATTAGACCAAAAATTACTTTTACTTTCGAAAGATTATGTCTTTTCTTCAAGCTGCCTTATTAGGCTTTTTACGCAATTAGCATAAAAAGTGAGTACTAAATGTAAACAGAAGAAAAATTAATCTAATAGTCGTAAATAAGTATTAGAAATTCACAACAGTAATAAATATAGAATATTATTCACTATTACGAAATCAGCATAAATGATGCTAATTAGAAATGAACAGAAAGTAAATTAACCTAATAGTTATGCAATCGTTAGAAATTCACACAAGCTATAAGAAGTAGCATAATATTTGATCTTGAATAATCAGCATAAAATGGGCTAGTTAAAGATGAATCGAATATAAACTAAACTAGCGGTTATAAATAATTGTTAGAAATACACAATAGTTAAAATAGCATATTTTTAGCTACTGCATAGTCAGCAAAAAAAATTGCTAATTAGAATTGGATAGTGTATAAACTAACCTGAAAGTCATAAATATTTGTTAGAAACTCACAACTGTTGAAGTAGCATATTTTTCACTATCACATAATTAGCATTAAAGGTGCTTACTGGAGGTGAATAGAGCTCAACAGCCATAAATAATTGTTCGAAATTTACAATAGTTAAAATTGTATATTAATTTTTTATTGTAAAATAATCATGAAAATTGCGATTTAGAGTTGAACTGAGCAGAAAACAAATCTAACAGTCATTAATAAGTTATAGAAATTTTCAATAGTTTAAATAGCATATTTTTCGTTAGTACATAATCAGTATAAAAGGTGCTTACAGGAGGTGAATACAGATTAACAGCCATAAATAATTGTTCGAAATTCACAACAATTATAAAAAAAAAGCATATTAAGCACTAAAATAAGTGGCTTCATATAACGACTTAGTTTACGAGAAACAGGATTTAAAAAATTTTGGTCAATTATTTTGCTTGCTTTTAACACAAATATGTTCTATTTATTTCAGTCATGTATCGAATATTGTAAGTTAAGCAGGCTAAGGTCAAACGGTTGGTGTGTTGACGAATTTACTACATATGAACCTCACACGGAAAAAATTTGTTTCGGAAGTAATATTTTTTTACACTATTTATGATAATAAATATTTTAAAATCTGATAAATATTAAATGAAATAATATTGTGTCATGATCATGAAATATTTTGTATTTCTTATTTACAACTAAAGTATGAACGTGTGTTTTACAGATCTCGAAAGTACTACAGGTGATATTAGTAAGAATTGCAGTGATATTTGCCAACCTGCATGCCTGTAAGTCGAAAAGTCATGTTTATTATCATGTCATAAAAAAATAATATAAATAAATAATAAAGTTCATTCTAAAATAACAATGAATCATAGTCATAATAAAACAATAAAGTTTAAACGTCAAAAAATATTTAAAAAAAAGTTTTTTACATTTGACAAATAGTCGTGTAGATTACTTTTACTTTAATTTGAATTAAAACTAAATTTATAAATTTACATTTTGAAAGTTATTTTCTTAATTCTAAAGACAAAATTAAATTATTAATTTTATATTTTGTACCTTTGCATTGAAACTTGAGTCGTTTAACAAAATATAAAATAACGTTTTAGATGATTTTTAGTTGCGGTGTGGAGAAAATAATATTTATAATTCAAGTAAGTCTAGAGATCTGACGAAAAAAAATTAAAATCAACTTTATTCCAAACCCAGTTGTTTATATCACACTATCCATATTGCGATTTCCTCTATACTCTAAGCTCAAAAACATGATTTTTTTATATAATTTTCGTATTTTTTTTATTTTTTGTGAGTGAAAAAAGCTTTTTTTCTGATCTTGTAACTTCAGAACTCGTTTGAATTTTTCATTTTAGCACTTAGTACTTAGCACTTGAATAATGAATGTCCATTTCTGAAGCTTTATCCGTGTGGGGCCAATTTTTATGAATCGCAAGCAGTATAAAAAGCCGTTTAAGAGCCTGACGGAACATACTTCACTCTCCAGTAATGAATGTCAATTTCTGAAACGTTTTTTTTTATCTGTGTGGTGCATATTTGTCATTTTAGTTTTGTAAATTATTTCGACAAGAGAATTCCCGAGGTAAGACGAAATTTGATACAAATACATTCTTCAACTTTTTCTTTCATTTTGTCCCAAAATAAAATCCGCCAACTCTTTATTCTCATGTGCCGTGTGTTTGTTCTTCAACTTTAAGATACCGGCTAAGTAGTGATATGGTCATTTGAAAACTGTACCGTGTGGAATAGGGTAATAATTGCCAAAACTTATACTCAATCTTTTTTTTTATATAATAAATGTAAAGTAGAGACATGATAAATTGAGTATATCTCTTTTGGTAGAGAAATATAATAATTTTGAATAGATCTCGTGTTACATTCGACGTCAAAAAAAATAAAAAAAGACGTCCAAATGGAGTGAAGGGAGTACTTTGTGCAATATTTGTATAAAACTAAACGATGTGAATATAGTACAAATAATGCAGCAAAAACAAACATGTTTATTTAGGTTAAATTATTTAAAATGCTATAAGTTCTTTTTCAAAAATAAATGTTTTTTAAATAACCACTGTTTTCATTACAGAGAATATGAATATGATGTTAAATATGAAGAAGCTTATATGGAAACAAATAATGTAGAGGTAAAAAAAAATGCGATACGCTATTCCAAGTAAATGTCTTTTGAGTTTGCTAATTAACTACTGCAGGTTGGTTTTAAAAGTTGAGAAATCAAGCACAAAAATGAATAAACACAAAGCTTTTAATGATTAAAAACACATTTTTTTCTAGGAATTTAGATTTTCACCTTCTAATACGGGTTTAGCACAAAACTAAGAAATATATTACCAAACGTTTTGTGAAGAGAAAAACTAATAGAATGTTTGAGTCCTTTAAAGCCATTTTTTTTAAAAAAAAGAATATTTTTCATGATTTAATTTAATAGTGATGAAACATTTGTTGATTTTAAGCAGCATAATTTTAAATGACGAAAAATTAAAATGTGCATGAATTTGGCCATATAGTTTTTGGAATCATAGTTCTGGACCGGGTGGTAAGGAGAGAGCAGTCCTTTTTAATTTTTTATCGATTAGACATTCAAGTTATCAATTGCAATCTCATTGATTCAATAGAGTAATCTTTAATATGCTAACTAATTTTGGTAAACGATATTTCAGATAAATACAAAAAGAGATAAAATACAAAAACGTACTTTCTCTCCATAAACAAGCCTCTTTTTTGACCGATTTGAACCTCAAAACGTAGGAAGTAGCCGCTATTTGAAAGATATGATTACAACACTTAAGTCAGGAGTACGGTTGAAAGTTTGGACCCCTTGATGATATTTTCACTTTTCCTAGAACAATTAAATAATTGCTTTAAATAACTTATCCTCACAATTATGAAACTTTTTTATCCATGGATAAATCTAAATAGTTTCTTTTCTTAAATTTTTTTATCATTCTTATTAGTTTATTATTTTTCTTAGTTTTATTTATGGTAAGAACATTTATTGAATTATTTGATTTCTATTAGTTTTTAGATCACTTTTAACAAAATGAAATCGGTCAAAAAGATGAGAAAGGAATGAAAAAAATGAAACTAACCTATAGAGGTCCAAATAGTCACCTGCTCTTCTGAATTAACTAATATGATCATATTTCCCATATAAAAACTGATCCCCACATATTGAAGGCTTAGAATCAAAATCTAATGAAAATGCGACATGGTTTAGAAAGAATGTTTTTTATTTTGTTACTCTTATCTTAACTCTTATCTTAACTCTTATCTTTACTCTTATCTTAAACTAACGCTTGTCTAAATAAGTTAGTATATTTAAGATCAAACTGTTGAATTCACACTACATTTTTGATAAATTTGTAAATATTCACATGATTCGTAAAGTTCAAATTATTCTTTAAATTTAACTAGTACTGTACAATTAGTAAAATTCAAATTCAATTTACTGATTTTTAACGCAGATTTAATGTAACATTTTACATCCAATATTTTTTAAGATTATTACTTACCTTTATTTACTCTTCAATGGTGTGTTAGCTTGGGAGGGCACATATGCACCGGCCAACCCACATGAAGGCAAATTGATATATATAAAGCCAAATTGACAAGAAGCTAATTCGACATGTATAAGTAATTAGATTATAATAAATCGAATAAACGTTTTAAAAATGAAGCAGAATAGTTGAGAAATAAGGAATTCTATTCTCTTGGGTAAATGCATAAATGCATTGTTAAAAACTTTGAAGACAGATGAACCATGTTATTCTTTCAATTCGCTTCGACCCTATATGGTAAAAATTGAACCAAATTTTCATATTTCTTAAATTTGATAACACTATACCATGGTTCCAGCTTGATTGGAAAATCACTTCCATTTTACACGTGATTAAGCTAGCTGCAAATATTTCACATTTTAGGATTAAGGTACTGATATTATGGTTCAATATTGAACTTAATTTCTGAGAGGGAGTTTCCTGAGAATGAATAAACTAACTTGTCACATATTTGATGCCAATTTTTTCTTCACCGATGTGTTTCCTGCCTAAATTCTTGAACTATATTCTATGCTAGTTAATTACATTTTCCCGGTTAATTCATAACAAAAATTCTTGTATCTTTCTCTTTCTGAATATATTCTGAATGTATTTTCTTTCGATTTCTGAATATATTCTGAAAGTATCTTTTCCGATGTCTGAATATATTCTGAATGTATCTTTTTAGATTTCTGAATATATTCTGAATGTATCTCTTTCGATTTTTGAATATATTCTGAATGTATCCTTTTCGATTTCTGAATATATTCAGAATGTATCTTTTTCGATTTCTGAATGTATTCTGAATGTATCTTTTTCGATTTCTGAATATATTCTGAAGGTATCTTTTTCGATTTCTGAATATATTCTGTAGGTATCTTTTTCGATTTCTGAATATATTCTGAATGTATCATTTTCGATTTCTGAATATATTCTGAATATATCTTTTTCGATTTCTGAATATATTCTGAATGTATCTTTTTCGATTTCTGAATATATCTTTCTCTAGCAGTATTACTCTAAAAAATGTCCTATTGGTCGATCTTCTTAGTTAAAGCTATGCTGTGTTTAAACTGTTATGGCTGTTAAAACTCACTGGCTGTGAACACTGAGCGGTAAAATGGGGTTCGATCCTCAATGGTGGCATGAAGCCCATTCAACTTCAGATTGATGGGAATCAGCTTGTATTGAAAAAAAAGGCAGATTATGTGCGCAACTATGCCATTGATCACTAAAATGCTGACCCTTTACCTCCACGGTTTTTCAGGTTCATAGAGAAAAAATCTTTGGATTTATTTTGCTCTTGTTAAACTGTTAAGTGAAAGACCAATGAATATTAATTACTTGTTATTTATCACATATTTATTTCATTTTTTCCTTTTGTGCTTTACAAGTGTGGAGAGAGAGTAATATGCAAGTAAGTGCCAGTTTTTCCTTCTCCTTCAGAGACCAATTTTAAGTGAAATATAATATTAAGAAAATGTAAATGTAGCGTCCTTTACCATTTATTATAGCAAAAGTATACAATTTTGAAAATAACTCATTTAAAACAATACTGAAATCTTCTTAAAACTTAATACTAAATTTGAAAATCAGCTATTACTGCATTTTTAACTTTTCAAAAAAAAAAAAGAAAAGAAAAAAAAAACGAAATGGAATGATTGAATAAAGGTTATTATGTTAGTTTCTATACTTTAGAAGGGAAGCAAAATAATTAATTTGTTACCCGATGGGGAACATTGCAAAGTTCAATATAGAAGTATTTAGATCTACGTAACAGCAACTATTTTCTTGATGCCCTGTGAGCAAAATATGAAAAACAAATGGGTACTTCTGGAAATTATGGGTACAGTAGTTCGGGCCGGAAACAACCGAAAATTTGTTTCTCTAAATGTAAATTTTAATCTTTGCGCATTTCAAAATATCTCTAGAGCTGTTTCAGAGAATTAGAAATTTTCTGAAAATAATTATGATACTCGTTCATTTAAATAAAATTTTTTTCCAACATAAAGTTGAAAGAGTTATTATTTTTTTAAAATTTATTTTAATGATGTCAGACACTATTTTGAATTCTGAAGTAAGCGAAATATTTACACCAATTTTAACTTAGTTTTTCCCATTCTTTTGTTTTTTAATCAGACAAATTGTTTCTGAGAAATTAAATTTCTTAAAGTTGTGTTTTTATTTTATCATTCCTTAAAAACTGTACTATCGATTTTTCTCAAATTTCAAAACATAACTATATACTTTAAAATGGCGTAAACATGCATATACTTTAAAGTTTAAATAAATTTCGCCCATTATTAAAATAAAAAAAAATTAAATAAATTATTTTAAGAATATACTTTGCAATTTATTTTTTTATTAGCAAGTTGTAGGGTTGCGAAAAAAGTTTCGATTCGCTTAAATTGCCCTAGAGATATAGTGAATTGAGTAAAGAGTAATATTAACATAAAGAAGACAAAACTTTTGACAGCTCTCCAGACTAAACTAATATGGCTATATCCTTCAAGATAGAGACCAGCCCAGGTTTCCCAATATTTTGAAGGTCAAAAATATTAATCCGACGAAAAAATGAATACACAATGCAAAAAAATGGAACACCCCGAATAACTTTTGATTTAATAATCGAATCTTTACGTTCAAGGACTCAATCTTAATGGGTCGAGGTGATGACCTGAAATATGCTAATTAATAAGTACAGACGTTTTAAATTATGAAATCAGACACAAAAATCTATTTTGTACGCACCTTTTTTTTCAATGGATTTCTGTCCCTCAAAATATGGGGGGTAACCGCAATCTGGGAATTATGGTTCCAATAGTTTCGTCAGGCGAGCGTTCCAAAGTTTCGACCCCTTAATGTTAATTTTACAATTGCTTATTCCTTTATATCTCAAGAATTTTTCAACCGAATTGAAAACTTTCTGCACACAATTATAAAATTTGTTTATCCAAAGATAATTCTATACAAAAATACAACTTCTAGTAAATATTTATAATTTTTTTATTGTTTTATGGCTTTTAATGGTTGAAAATGTTATGAATTGCAGAGAACACAATTTTTGCATCATTTTAACGAATATAATTTTACATGGCAAAATACAAAATTTGAGTAAAATCAGTCGAATAGTTTCCGCAGAATCAAATTTTAAATGTCAAAAAAAAATTTTAAAAATTCAATTTTTCAAATTTTCTCTCAAATTTTGTATTTTACCATGTAAAATAACATTCTCTAAAATAATGCAAAAAGTTGTATGCCTTACAATTCAAAATTTTGTCGACCATTATTAAATAAAATAATCGAAAATAAATAATATTTTTAAAAGTTACATTTCGCATTTATTTATCTTTAGATAAACAAAATTTTGTAATGGTGTGCGCAAATTTTTCATTTCGTTTAAAAGATTCTCGAGATAAAGCGGAAAGTAAAATTAACATTAAGAATTCCAAACTTTGGTGCGATCTCCAGACTAAACATTGAGAATATATTGATTGTGGCTACTACCTATATTTTGGGGGTCATGAATCGAAATCCATCGAAGAACAGGTATGCTTATTTAGAAAAAGTATTTTTTTATGTCTGATTTTCTAACCTTAAAATATCATACATACAAATTAATTAGCATATTTGAGGTCTCTCCATCGAGTTATTAAAATTGAGTCCTGCAACGAGAAAATCTGAAATCTACCTCAAAAGTTATTCAGGGTGGTTTGATAAACTGCACGTTTATGCAAAAAAAATATTTTTTTTTCCGTCTGATTTCCTACCTAAAAACATCATCTACGTGAACATTAATTTTCATATTCAATGTCAATCCTTTGAATTATTAAGATAGAGTTACAAATTCATGATAATCGTTAGATTAATAATAAGATGATCCATCTTTTTTTTTATTTTTTCATTGTGCTATTAAATTTAAGGAGTTTTATAAAAGCGACGAAAAAAGACTCTAAAATAGATAAAGTTTTTGTTTTTTTAGTGAGGAATACATTTCTGTTAGAGTTTTCTTCAGAAAGTTTCGATTGTCAAGAATAGTTTATTTGGCAAAAATTGAGGTAAGTTCTTTACAAAACATTCTCTATAGTAAACTACATTAGTGTTTGGTAATAAAATATCGTATGAATGATTTTTTGCCAAATGTATCAATAAATTTTAACATACTAGAATACTTTTTTTTTTAAACGAGGGTGAAGGCTGCTTTTCCGGAAATAAAAAACTTGAAATTGAAAACAAAATAATATGTACACATAAAATATAAAATGCACAAATACACATAATTGATATTCATACTAAATTAAATAGAGTCTTTTCCTTGTATTTGTTTAAAAAAAACATTTTTTTCACGTAAGAGAACTGAAACCTTTGATATATTTGAATATTCTGCTTCTTAACTAAAGTTATCATTTAAAATTCTTTTTTAGTTATTCTTCATTCTTCTGGCTCGATTCTGATTTTTAGCTTATTTTATTTATCTTTTTAAATGAAAAAAAAACTAATAAGCTCTTTTAATGTTTTTTAATTGTTTCTTTCTTTTTTCTTTCCTTATTCCTTTTTTGTGTATTCGTGGTGTAACGATTAGAATGTCCAACATCTACCAGAGATGTGCTACGGTTCGTATCTTAATTGCGGAGTTAGAATTTTATCTCTAGGTTTCTGTTCTGAAAAAGTGAATAACTATTTAGTTGGTTTTATT